TTAGGTATCTTTAAGGGTTAATTTTAAAAGATTGTTAAAATAATCCAAATTTTTATTAATTATTTGATTATACAGTTGACCCTTTTTCTCACCCAATAATATTTCTAATAGTCATTTAATTAAAATGGTCAAACTTTAATATTACTGATGTCTTGTTGGTTATTTTTTTTTTATTATTGCTTAAAGTATTACAAAGGGTATTACATATGTGTCCTTCTCCCCCCCCCCCCGCCCTTGACAATCCCCTGGCCTCCCCTACCCCCCAGTTTCTTATGTCCATTGGTTATGCTTATATGCATGCATACAAGTCCTTCGGTTGATCTCTTACCCCCCTCCCTCCTGCCCCCCAACCATCCCTGGCCTTCCCGCTGCAGTTTGACAATCAGTTTGAGGCAGCTCTGCCTCTGTATCTATTATTGTTCAAAAGTTTGTAATGGTCTTTATTATCCATGAATGAGTGAGATCATGTGGTATTTTTCCTTCATTGACTGGCTTATTTCACTTAGCATAATGCTCTTCAGTTCCATCCATGATGTTGCAAATGGTAAGAGTTCCTTCTTTTTAACAGCAGCATAGTCTACCTGGCTTTAAACCAGTTCACCGCTAAAAAATTATACTCATCGTTCACTCAGCAGGGAAACCATGCTTCCACCTCGCTCTCTGCAGCCGAAGCCCTGGGAAACACGTCTGTGGTGCCTTTCCTTTCCTCAAGGGAGGCTCATGCCACACTCGGCAGGAAGAAGAATGTCAAAGTGGGCATCACTTGCCAGTCCTCCAAGGAGAACATGCCTGGAGGCCAGTGCTGTGCCAACAGTGATCTTCTAGCATTTTTGTTCCACTGGACATTATTTATGTTCCCTTCCACGTTATTTTAAACTCAACATAAATTTTTTCACCAAAAGTTTCCATATTTGTAAATTATGTAGTTCTCAGCACGGACATTTTAAAATAAATCTCTTCTTTACCATTTAGAAATTTTTCCTCATTTCTTTCTCCTTCAACACATATTTCCTTTCTACATTCCCTAGAGAATTTTAAGCTAATGCATATTTTATACTTTGTTTTTTACTGATCACCTTTAAATGCTTTTCTGCAAAAAATTATAAACTATATTTAAAAATTTTTTAATTTTCCCATGACCATGAGTCTCTGAGAAATTTGAAAACCCTTCTGGATTGAGTTATTAGTCTATTAACAAAAGTTGACCAAGATACATAAATATATACTTTATAAGTAATTACTAAGCTTTAAACATTTTATAAAGATGTATCTCTTAATGAGATGGGTGATATTTTTTTCAATTGGTGTTTTTTTTGGTGTGTAAATATTTGTAGATAGTATTACTTATTATTAGAATGAAACATGGCTCAACATCAACTCCTTTCCCCCCTTTTTAAAACTTGATTTTTAAGTGCTGAGAAATCTTATTAACAAACAGTATCTCTTAGAACGAAAGAATTTTGTTATAGTAATGTTACTCACTTCTTTGAACTCTTGTCAAATTATATGCCCTCACATTTTAAGGATTTATTGGTAGCAATTAAATTAGTTCCTCTCAATTTTTTTTAAAGCAAAGACTTAAAACCACCCAACTTGCCTAAGGATTTACTACCTAGTTATTAGAATTATTCTATTTCTTGATTTCTGTGAATACCAAAAAGGCTTTATTTATTATTTCTAATAATTATACGGGTTACTCTTAAAGGGTTTATTCCTTTACTTAAAAGAACCTTATTTAACCCAACAGAAAAGATTAGAATAACCCAAATATTGTTAATTTATATATATCAATGCCAACATTAATTTTTTAATAAGGTGATTTACCTTATCACATGCTTTTAAAATATTTTCATCAAAACCTCAAAGCAAAAAAACCAAAAAACACACAACAAAAAACAAAACAAAAAAACCTCAAAGCCGTAGATTTGGCTCATTTAATTTATGAAAATGTCTATGCCCCCACTGCCAAAGCAACTGGCCAAATCAGACTTATTTTCATAGGAGAAAGTATGACCTAATTTTTAAAAATAAGTTTATTAATATGTATCCCAGTGGTAACCACCTGGCTCCTGAACTTAAAACATCCCAATACCCTTGACTATAACTCTGTTTCACTCTTAGCAGAAGTGTGTCAGAAATAAATTCAGAAAGCCTTACGATGGATTTACATTTCCTGGATTAAAGAAAACTTTGTAGATACTAATATTTTCAATTGTCCCTTTGTTTGGCACCTCAAAGATTTTTATACCTTAGGGTAATGCTCTACATAATAAGTGGATCACAGAGAGGTATGTCTTTCTTTTGTAAAGTTGGGAGGAGGTTAACTGTGAAAGGGGAAAGGGAAAAGGAGAAATGGTGTGATTTTGGACCACAGGGCTAACCTGGGGCATAGGAATAAGTTAAAGGTCTGGGCCCTGACCGTGTTTCCAAGTGGTTAGAGCGTCGTCCTGCACACCAAAAGGCATGTAGCTGGGTTTCGGGTTTGCTCCCCGGCCTTGGTTGGGGTGTGTGCAGGAGGCAACCAATCCATGTCTCTCTTCTCTCTCTCCCTCTCTCTTTCTCTCTCTCTCTCTCAGCCCCCCACTCCCACTCTCTCAATGCAAAAAATATCCTCAGGTGAGGATTAATTAAAAAAAAAAAAAAGATCTGAGAATCAGGTTCCTTAAAACTGTGCTTGGAAAACCTTCAAATGTCCCAACAGGATGCACCTCCAGTTGAGGACCACTGCTCTAAGAGAAAGAAACTTAACAACTGACTTTGGACAGTCCTTCCGGTTACACCCTGAGATACTCAGTTTGCCCAATTATGACTTGAAGGAATTTTCAAAATAATTTTTAGCTATATGAGATTTTTGCCTTAGAATTCAGGCCTTAACCTTTTTGTAAATGATCCCTCCGTGAAAGTTCTTTGTGGGACTCTACAATACTGCATGTGCCATGTGTTAAATAAATCTTTTACAATAACACTGTCGGTGATAACCCTGGAAGGGCTGTAGGGATCCTCTTTAATATTCCCACCCAGATGTTCTTGTTCCCTAGAACTCCATTTCTAACTCTAGATTCAAAATGCTCCCAGTTCCAGTCTCTCCCTATAATGCACGGAGGAGCCAAGCCGGCAGCTGGATCGGTGTATTTTCTTTGGGTATTTCTAGTTCTATCATACTCTGTTCTCTCATTTGCATTTCCCTTGGTATGCAGTCTTTTCCTGCCTTGGGTGGAAGCAACTCACAAATCTCTGAGACAATAAATGAATTTGATCACTGGGGGGGCCACATCAAGAAAACCACTAACCATAGATTATTTGACATAAATGTCACTGCTTAATACATACCACATGCTGTACATAGGCCTTTAGAAGAGAGAATGCAGGTATGCAACGTCCCTGACACCTTTCCTGATTACTCTGATTTGTTTTGCTCTTTTGCCCCAACCCTGCACCACAGAGAAGCTGCATTGGTTAGATTCTAGAATGTTCACTAGGTCTCATTTATGAGTGGGAAGTGTCACTGTATGTTAAAAGGGCACACACATGGCCAGCTCTTATACTTCCTTCCTCCATATTGTTGGGTTCGGAAAGGAATAAAGGCCTCCACCAGCTCCCTGCTGGCTAGTCCTCTTCTCACATTTATGTTAGGGCATTCTCACTGATTCATTCCCCTGAACCAATTCTCAAAGTATGATTCACAGACCAATGTTAGTGAATGACCTACTACTGGTTTGCAACTAGACAAGTAGAAAAATAAAGAGAATCATTTAGAAACTCTTACAGCAAGTAGACGTCACAACATCCAAGACTGTGACCATTTTTCTAGATATTGTTATTTTATTTTACAACAGTATCAGTTCATGAAAACTTGGGAAAAACAGAAACTAGTTCTTCACCACAGACAGGTTGAGAAACACTTCCCTAAACAATGTGGCTGGCCAGACGATGATGTCTTAAAATGTACCTATGATTTTGTTTTAATCTGGTAAGGTAAGGTGACAGACAGAGACAACTGCCTTTGAAGGAGGAGTTTATTCCTTACAGTTTCTCAGAGAAGGGAGCATGGAGGGCCTCATGGGGAGGTTCTAGGATTAGTAAGGAGGCAGAAGGGGCAATGCAGAGTAGGCACCTTTGAGCAAGTTTAGGATTGGACAGTTTAAGTAATTCCAGGCAGGCTCGGGGCTACAGGAGTGGTCCCAGTTACGCAGTAGTTGGCCCTGGAGGGATTCAGAGCAGGGGAAATATTGACTTGGTGTATGAGAGTTAGATAAAAGGAAAAGGTTGGGAAACAGGGGTTTTGCATATGAAAGGCACACTTCCAGGCAAGTAGCCTCTATGCCAGTGATGGCGAACCTTTTGAGCTCGGCGTGTCAGCATTTTGAAAAACCCTAACTTAACTCTGGTGCCGTGTCACATATAGAATTTTTTTTGATATTTGCAACCATAGTAAAACAAAGACTTATATTTTTGATATTTATTTTATATATTTAAATGCCATTTAACAAGGAAAAATCAACCAAAAAAATGAGTTTGCGTGTCACCTCTGACACGCGTGTCATAGGTTCGCCATCACTGCTCTAGGAATTAAGCTAGCACTGGGAGGGGCAGTCCCTACCCTGCCAGCAAGGCTCCTAAAATGTCAAAACATCCTAAAATACAGAGCACAAACATGATTAAGATAGTAAGGTCCCAAGATTGGGTGCCGAGGGGATAGGAAGTATCCTTGAGCTTCTACCTACCTGCTCAGTTGAGTTTAACATAGAACACTGAGGTTCAGAGCATAAGCTTATATGTTAATAAACTGTGCCGTGGGCATATATATCTGCCTTGAGGGCCTCCCCAGAGAGAACTATGGCCAGGTCAAGACAGGACACAGACACTCCTGGACTCCTTTGCTAAATCCCATGATCACCTTTAGCACCTAATTTATTTTCTCCATTTATCTTTCACTCTTTCCCCTCACATACCTTGCCATTCAGGCACACTGCCCTTAGGTCTTTATTTTCTCCATTTCCACTCTCTGTTCAGCTGTGGAAATCCTCTTGGTTCTCCTCTACAAACTTCCTTAATCTTCCCACAACACTGAGCCCCTTCCAGAGTACTTACGCTCTACTTTTTACTACAGTTCTTTAAACACATGCTTTATCTCTCCTTTAAAAAAAATTCTTTTTATTGATTTCAGAGAGGAAGGAAGAGATCGAAATATCAATGAGCGAGAATCACTGATTGGCTACCTCCTACATGCTCCCCACTGGGGACTGAGCCTGCAACCTGGGCATGTACCCTGACCAGGAATCAAACCATGATCTCCTGGCTCATAAGTTGATGCTCAACCACTGAGTCACACCGGCTGGGCTTAGCAAGATCTTAATAGGTACGTCTGAAAGTAAGCTGTCCCATCCCAGTCAAGTACCTGAGTTCTAAAGACCCCTTTATCAGTGAGGACCGGCATTTACCTACACCGCCATCTTGGTTCCCCTCCAGTGTCAAAGTTCCACGAATTTTTTTGTTCTGAGAAAGTTACTTTTTACAAAAATATGTACAACTTGTATTAAACATATAATCAGTTTTATCATTATTATTTTAAAATAAATCAGTAAATATTTACAAAATTTTAAATTATAGTTTCTTCTAATATAATAAAAGCACATTTAAAAAAGCTCTTTAAGCCCTAACCAGTTTGGTTCAGTGGATAGAGCATCAGCCTGCAGACTGAAAGGTCCCAGGTTCAATTCCAGTCAAGGGCATGTGTCCTTGGTTGTGGACACATCCCCAGTGGGAGGTGTGCAGAAGGCAGCTGATCGGTGTTTCTCTCTCATCGATGTTTCTAACTCTCTATCCCTCTCAGAAAGAGAGAATTGATGCAATACAATAATTAAAATACTTTGCAAAAATGGACTCAACCTAATATTTATAAACTGTCCTAAGCCCTAAAAACACAGCAGTAATTTTATAGGGAAATGGGTTGGGCAGATGTCTCAAGAGGGTGCCAAAGACCTGGCAGTGAAGGACACTGATATACACCTGAACTGTGCTGTGGGGAACTGAAGCCACATTCATTGTCAAGCCAAGAGAGAGATGACCATGCATGGGTGGAGGTGAGTAAGGGGATGATTACAGACTGCAGTGCTTACGGACACAAGCTTTGCTCTGCAGTCAGAGGGACCTGGTTCAAATGCCGACACTAATATTTACTAGCTACATAACCTTGGACAAGTTAGTTAATCTCCCTAGCCCTCAGTTTCTTCAGCCATTCTTCCAGATAAAATCAGAGAAACTGCAGGAGGATCCTAGGACAAAGACTACTACTACCTTGTGGGGCTTCTAAGCAAGTCTTGGCAGTCAGCCAAGGCCTGTAGAATCGACAATTTTTCTCAGATGGGGAAATTAGAGGAAGTGAACATTTTCATGCAAAGCAGGACCTCTCAGAAGCCCAGATTTGTGCTTTGAGCTATGGAGCAATCAGTGCAACTCTGTGCTAAAGTGTTTGGATTAATCAGAGACCATTCAGCAGCAAAGTGTTAACAGCACTAACTAGCTCAGTGATGGTTTGCTAGTGAAAGGCGGGATTACAACAAAGCTGCAATCACACTTTTCCCCCAAAGAGGCTGCCCTAGGAGAAAGGTGAGGTGAAGGTGAGAGAGCTGGCTCCAGGCCATAAAGAAGTCCCAGATGGGGTTAAGTATCAGTTTTATAAAAGTCCTTCATTTATTTGTCCAACACATATCTGAATGCTAGCCATGTGCAAAGAAGCAAGTCTTGGCTTTAGGGCTTTAAGAAGAGGATATGAACATAAGAAAATACAATATCACAGAGAGTAAAGAGGTATGTATAATATAGAATGAAAAGATGAAATAATTTCCAGTTGGGTGTGGAATGGGGGAGGTCAGGAAATGTTTCTTGAGAGAAGAATGTGAAGAATAAGTATGATGCAGACATTCAGAGATGGAAAAATGGGGCATCTTAGGGTGTATTTAGAGCAAAATAGAGGGTAGAAAACAAACACATGTGAAAAGCACCTAGTAGTTCACTCCGTTTAAGAATAGGATGCTTAGTGACTAGCAGGGGTGGGCAAACTTTTTGACTCGAGGGCCACAATGGGTTCTTAAACTGGACCGGAGGGCCGGAACAAAAGCATGGATGGAGTGTTTGTGTGAACTAATATAAATTCAAAGTAAACATCATTACATAAAAGGGTACGGTCTTTTTTTTTTTTAGTTTTATTCATTTAAAACGGGCCGGATTCTTCAAACGGGCCCGATCCGGCCCGCGGGCCGTAGTTTGCCCACGGCTGGACTAGAGACTGAAAAGGTTGGGACTTCCATTAGTAAGTAGAGTAAATCTGATTACAGGAATTCTCTCTCCCATTCTTATTAACTATTTTAAACTGTCGATATTTTCTTTAAACCCCTACTCAACCTCTCATTCCCTTTAATAAGATTTTAAATTTTCTACATTATTGAAAACTAGAGACTGTCGGGTATTTTCTTCCTCAGCTTCCTACTCCCTACCTATAAACTTATCCATGCCCAACCTCCCCTTTTTTCCCAATGTTTTGGGGAATAAGGAGCCCGTTTCCTATTAGAGACTCCATCTTCCAAGACTGTGTTCTATTTTCTTTTCTGTTCTACCTCATTTTCTACCTCCATCTCCCCTTCTTCTGGGCTTCCCTCCTCCCATATTACAAAAATGCTTGTTTTCACCCATATTCTTTAAATAAGCCCGAGTGAGAAGTCTATGCTCATTGTCTCCACTTCCCACTCGATATAACATCCATCCTTACCCTGCACTGAAACGTGTCTTTAAAGTTCTCAGTGCTTTAGATTGTCAAATTCAACAACATTTCCACTTCTGATCTCACGAAGCATCTCTGTTAAATTTCAATCCATCGATCACTTCCCTACCTTCTCTAACCCTTGTGTCCTCTTGGCTTCACTGAACTCTTGGTTCTCTTAGCATCGCTAATGGCCACTCATTTATTTTCCTTCATGAGCTTCATCTCTGCTGCCCATGGACACCAGTGGTTGTGTCTTTGGCCCACTGTTCTGTCACTCGACACAATATTTTTGAGTAATTTCATTATTTCAATCACCACTCCTCAGCTTAGCACCTCTTCCGTGAGCTATCATTTGACTGTATGTGTGCCTAAAAGACCACTCTATTTGGTTATCCAACAAATAATTCCACTGGGTATATCCAAACTGGAACATACTTTTCTTCAAATGCCCTTTCTTCTAACTGCTCCCTCACCAACACACACATACATTACCTGAAAATCTTTGCTGAACCTCTGGGTTGGGATAGATCTGTGTCCTCCAAAATAACCCAGCATATCTCAATTATGAAATATTGCCATCAATGCTATTATGTAATGTATTTTTAATGTGTCGGGCTGCTCCACTACACTGTAAGCTTCTGGGACAGGGATGGTGTTTGAATCATCTTTTAACCTCTAGGACCTAGCATAATCCTTGACACATGGCAGGCACTCCATGAGTAATGAGAGCTATGTTTTAGGAAGCCATCTGCTGACAGTATACAAAACACAAAGCAGAGGGAGGACCAGAGGGAATGAAACTGCGGTGGATAACTGTAGAAGAACAAAATTATACAAGTCTGAACTAAGATCAGATTAATAAGAATAGAAAGAAGGGAATGGACATGTGAGATTCTGTTATGATAAAATGAATAGGACTAGCAAAAGACTGAACTGGGAAGAGAGGGATGCAGAAAAGACACACAGTGGCTCCAGCTGGGTGGCTCAGTTAGTTGGAGCGTCGTCCTGTACACCAAAAAGATGGCAGGTTCAATTCCCAGTCAGGGCACATACCTGGGTTTTGGGTTCAATCCCTAGTCAGGGTGCCTGTGGGAGTCAGCCGATCTCTGTCTCTGTCTCTGTTTCTGTCCTCCTCCTCCCTTCCTCTCTCTCCAGGATCAATAAGCATATCCTTGCCCTAGCTGGTTTGGCTCAGTGGATAGAGTGCTGGCCCATGGACTGAAGGGTCCTGGATCCTATTCTGGTCAAGGGTACATGTCTCAGTTGCAGGTTCGATCCCTGCCGATGTGTCTCTCTCACATCAATATTTCTCTCTCTCTCTCTCTCTCTCTCTCTCTCTCTCTCTCTCTCTCCCCCTCCCTTCCATTCTCTCTAAAAATCAATAGAAAAATATCCTCAGGTGAGGATTAACAAACAAACAAAAAAAGGAATGAATCATCCCTGGGAAACAGGAAGACACTGGATACAATGCCATAACCAATAACTGTAATCTATTCTATACCTTACAAACTTTCCAGCATTTCTTTAAAATGGGGAATTAAATGGCCTAAAAATTGGATTTTAGTGGCTGGTGTTCTTTGAAATAAAAAAATATGTTATGTGATATTTACTGTAATAGAATGCTCAATAATTATCCGTAAGTGCTCCCCCCTCTCTTTCTCTTAGTTTTCCCCATTTACCAAAGTTGGGTAAAGTGGAGGCTTTTAATCTACCATGGGCTGATTTATCAGCATGACACTATATATCTAGAATAATTACTAGAACTTGCCACATTCCAATAAGGTGACCTAAAGAGTTTCAGCACATTTTTAAATCTACAGTTATATGCAATTCTTTAACAGGGGTGTTTGTGCTAATTCTCATGTTCAGATGCTAAGAGGGGAACAGTTCTTCCTGATGTTTTAGAACACAGGCTTGCTGAGGAGACAGACTTTACGCCGCAGTATGTCTGCCAAAGGTCGTCACATTGTCCTAGGCTGCGTTAGAGCAGCGATGGTCCTAATATGCCAGTAACTCTTCCTCCCAGAAGAGAACAATCAGGAGTATGGAAAGGCAGGCCCTAGGACGCAGGGATGGGTCTGGAAAATGTGAAGCCAAAGAGGAATAAGAGAAAAGTGAGATTAGGAAAACCAGAATTTCTTAGGCAGTTTGACCCAGCGCAAAGAGTTCACCTGATTCATGATGGAAAATTTCCTCCCGATCCTGTTGTCTGGCAGCCGAAAGCCCTTCCTCCTCATACCATCTTCTGACTCGGACTTAAACACCTTCTCAGGATCCCCTTTCTCCTCTCCTTCAGAGAGTTCCTTTTGCTTCCTCTTCCTCCTCCGGTTCCGTCTTTCCTTCGCGCTCTTGGAACTGAGCTTAGACATTTCCGAGGAGCTCCTAGGTGAGCCTCCCTCTTCTTCACCTTCTTCCTCGATGGCATCTTCTGAGACCGTTCCTGCTGAAGTGGCCATCGCAGCAGCCTAGGAAAGGAGCCAGAGGCACAGATCAGATCAGAACCACTCACCTGGAGCCCCCGGAGCCAAGCAGTTAGTGCGGATCATTTCCTTTTCCTTAGACGGAAAAGAGTGAGAAAAGGAGGAAGGAGAACCAGCCAGTGAGGAGACTGTGGCCAGGGCCCGGCTCTGTCCGTTTTCTAGCTGAATCTGCTTTGTGGCACACAGCAATGAGTAATCAGAGCAGAACCCACTGAGGAGAACTTTGGGATTTATTCTCTTGAGTATCTTAGATAAGAATTTGGCTGCCTTCTTGGCACCAAACAATCTTTTCTGGGCAACTCTGAAAATGCATGCTAAGAAACTATTATACATATGGGCCCGACAATATAAAAATACACGTATATTTGGATAAGGATTAGAAAGTAAAGTGTTAGGGTGGTGGCATTATAAATTTGTTTTTCAATTTTACTTTAGAATTTTATCTATCTTATTTTTAATTACAATCAATACTTTTCTAAGACTACAGAAAATCTCTGAAGGCGACCCTAATGTTCTCCTCAACAGAAAGGCTATGTTTACATGAAGCACTATCTAAACTTCTATGGCCACTTATTTTTCCTCCACAGCCTCATGGCAGCTGAACACTGAACAGTTGAGAAATTCAACAAAAGATCATATTACCAAATAATTTGGCCATTAAGACAAATGGCATAATTGCAACAACCATGTGCAGTTGTTAACTGTATTTTAATCAGATCGATAACTGCTATTTGACAATGTGCCTAGAAGTGATCAATCGGAGTGGCAATCAGATGGGGCCTTAGTCACGGCGATCTGGCAGGCAGGACTGTGGCAAAGCATTGATCACTAACCTGTGCCTCTTCCTGTTGCTTCTTAAGCTGCTCCAACATTGCTTTGAATTCAGCCTCTTTCTGCTCTGCCTCCTCCAGTGTTGCCTGATTCTGCTCTTCATAAGCCATGGCTACCACAGCCAAGATCAAGTTCACCAAATAGAAAGAACCCACAAAGATGACCAAGACGAAGAAGATCATGTACGTTTTTCCAGCTGCTCGTAAAGTCTGCAAAGATAAAGACCATTTTCAGAGTCACTTGAATCGACTGAACCAGGCTGAAAACAGCCGGGGGCTAATGCTCCTCTGTAGGGCACTACTGCATTTTGAACAGGACGGTCCTTCATTGAGTGGTACTCCTTCATATTGCAAAGCACTGTGGCAAAAGAAGCCCTCTTCCATTTCCAAACCTCCTAATATAGTCCTTTCATAGCATTTTTTTTAATAGAAAAAAATGCCCTGGGCTAAGAATTATATTTGACTTTGTCAGTTGGTTCTAAAACAAATATAAGAAAACAATACAAGCTTTAGCTCATTTACCTACTGGCCCTCGAAGAGTATTAACAGACAAATCCCATCTCTGGGATCAGGTCCAAGTCACAGGAAGTTCCCATCTTGAGTGACATTCTTCCTTATCCTCTTGTAATAGGACGGGTTTTTAAAGAGGATATGACATAAAGCAGTGGTTCTCAACCTTCTGGCCCTTTAAATACAGTTCCTCATGTTGTGACCCAACCATAAAACTATTTTCGTTGCTACTTCATAACTGTAATGTTGCTACTGTTATGAATCGTAATGTAAATATCTGATATGCAGGATGGTCTTAGGCGACCCCTGTGAAAGGGTCGTTTGACCGCCAAAGGGGTCGAGACCCACAGGTTGAGAACCGATGACCTAGACTAACTTCTCCATCAGAACCAGCAAAGTTAAATGACTTGCCCAGTCACCAACGCAGCCCAATAGAATGGTACTGACCTTTTTTTTTAAAAAACTGTCACGACCTGCTTGAACAAGTCCGAATATGTTACAAATCCCCAAAACATTGATCTATTTAGACTCCAAGGTCCTTGTGGATAGAAATCTTATCTTTACAATGTCTAGCACAGTGCCTTGCACAATGTGTTTAATTAATATTTCTTAAAAGGATGCCATAAACCCAAAAATCCAAAAGCAGCAATACTGCAGATGGTTTGGTGAAACAATAAGAAGTAGGAAGAGACAGCAGATTCTCAGGCCAAGCAAGAGGATGTGAGCCTCCACAGCTATACATGACTGAGCATTAAAGAAACAGGACAGGAGCCGAAAGAATTCACTTAATTTTATAGAACAGAGAAATAACATCCTAAGGTGACTGTATAATGTCTTCACTAAAGGTCTCTTTCATAGAATGTGCCCAACCCCAGATAGCCTCATGCAAACATTATCACAAAAAAAAAAAGAGGTAGCACTTGAGAAAGAGGTATTACTTACCAATTGATATAAGTTTTCCCAATAGTCCTGGGTCATAAGACGAAATAATGCCAAGAAGGCCCAGCTGAAAGTGTCAAAGCTTGTGTAACCATAGTTGGGATTCCTTCCTGCTTTCATACATTGGTATCCCTCTGGGCATTGCCTGAGGAAAGAAAGGGAAGTTCAGGGCTTTCAACAGTCCTGTAAGTCATCTTTATGACCTTGGAGATAATAAATAACCATCTATAGAACCAGGCCAACAAATGGGAATTTAAAAAAAGAAGAAGAAGAAGAAAAGAAAAAGAGGGAAGAAACAAAGTAGCCAGGTCAATTTTTAAAGAAAATACGTTAGCCCCAAAATGTTAGATCCAATTAGGGCCTACTACACGAGCACCAAGAAAAGTGAAAACACTGCCTGTTTTATCTGAAACATTATTTTAAGGGATGAGAGTAAAACTAGGTGAGCTACTTACCCAGCATCAGAACTGTTCCCACAGAGTAGAGGTTCTAGCATTCCAGGAACTGTGTAAAAATTTGCTAGAAGAGTTTGAAGAGGCAGGAAATGAATAAGGCAGATTTAAGGGAATGAGAGAATAAGGTTACACTGTCCCTAATTAGTCCCAGGAAAAAGAGTTATTGATTTTTAGCTCATATAAATATTTTCTGACAGGCATGAAACCTGATAAGAATTCTTTCCCATAATTTTCCTATATGTATTTAAAAATTAAAAGTGCTACCATAAAGCCCTTAATGCAATGTTCTTTTCCCAGACATCTGACTTCCACTCGTACTTCAAATCTACATGCCAGGTCCAGTAGTTAACTCAAAGGGGTTTAAGAGGGTTTTCTAAGCTGGAATACGTTTATATAACTTTATCCTCTATCCTTATATCTTTTCTTAACCACAGGTAAACTAGAAATCCTCACGGATCACCAGTTAACATGTCCTATATTAAATGGAAGGCATGACACCTTTAATTTTATATGTCCCTAAAATCCCCTTTGCAACATTTCTTTTGGCTACTTAACTGCCTTTATTTCCTCAAGAGTGACTAATAGTGATATTGCTAACTTTTCCCCATCATTTCATGGAAGTACTATTACACCAAATGTTCCTTAAAGTGCTTTGATTCCTGAAATGAAATTATTAAAATTCCTTAACTGTAATAGGATCAAATGATGCCTTAGAAATTACCTGAGTCCCTAGACTAGATCAATTACTGAGGTCTTGCAGGATTAAGAATGCTTAAGAGGTATATTCTAGACCAGTGATGGCGAAACCTATGACACGCATGTCAGAGGTGACACGCGAACTCATTTTTTTGGTTGATTTTTCTTTGTTAAATGGCATTTAAATATATAAAATAAATATCAAAAATATAAGTCTTTGTTTTACTATGGTTGCAAATATCAAAAAATTTCTATATGTGACACGGCACCAGAGTTAAGTTAGGGTTTTTCAAAATGCTGACACGCCGAGCTCACAAGGTTCGCCATCACTGTTCTAGACCAAATGTTTAAATATCTCAGGCAACCCAATTAGGGAAAAAAGAATTTCTATCAAGCTACTGAGCCTGATTTTCAAAGCCAAAGTTTAGGAGTATATGTGACAAAACTACAAAGTCTCACTTTTGGTTTTAAAGGGAGAGAAGTGGGGTGGGAGAGCTTCTGAACACAACCCCACCTCCAGGAAAGGACATGCTCCACAAAGCTACCTCCGGCAGCACCGGCATTCCTTTCTGGCCCCAACTACCTTTGTTAAAGCCAGTGGTGGCTTCTGGCCGTGTAACCTAGAGATACATTTTCCTTTCTCCTCTTGCAGGAAGGGGCCACCTACTTTTATTGTTGATATACTCGTCCCAGTCGAAGCCTCGGGTGCCGTTCTCGAGGTAGCTGTCATTGAAGTTTATGGGCCACACCACACACTTGTTCCGCAGGTTGCCCATGAACAGCTGCAGGCCGATCAAGGCGAAAACACTCAGGCAGAACACTGTCAGAATCATCACATCTGACAGCTTCTTCACGGACTGAATCAGGGCGCCCACAATGGTCTTCAGGCCTGAGGAGACAGAACCCCCAGAATCAGAGTCACCCCACAGCCCTCCCCACCTCCCCCAGCCCCCTTCTGAGCTACTGGCTCCCACTCCTCCCCACAGCACCACCCTTGAAACCAGGCCACTTCATCTTTCATATCATGAGAATAACAATGGGTCAGCAATATCATCACTTTTTCCAGAAGTATCCATTTTCAAGCCACTAACTTTTAAAAAGAACAAAAAAGGTCCTTCTCCAACCTGTGGCTTTTTTTCTGCCTGGAAGCACTTTCCTTGTCATTGACTGCTTCTCAGCAACTAAATGAGTCAAGTTTTACTTGCGTTGGGGCCTTCCTATGTGCTAGTCCCTTTGCCTGGAACGCTTCCTTCTGTTCCCCTGTCCTACCTGCCTAACTCCTGCTCATCCTTCTGGTCTCAACTTAAATATCAATTCCCCAGAAAACCTTCCCTGACTTCACAGCTCTTCTCCCTCCCCATTATTGTTAGTATTTTAACAGCACTTTATACTTTCCTCTGTAGCGTTTATCGTGGTTAAGTATGTCAGTCTTTTTCACAGCTATATCTATACTTCCTAGAACACAGCAGGTACTCGGTAAATATTAGCTGAATAAACAAATGGAAAAGCCAGGAATTGAGGAGGCTTGCAGGTTGGAAAGAGAACTACTGGAAGCTTGAAGGCCAATAAGTGAGAAGGTGCAATAATATTTTCCCAAGACCTCTGGAAATGCCGGTATGTTGACAGGATTCATTATTATCAATTGAGTATTTATGGTTTGTCTTTCCATTTAAAAACACACCTTTTCTATAACACATATATGCCCTGTTTTCTACAACTGACCTTTTACTGTCCTACATTTAAGACAAAAGAAAAAATATATAATCTACTTGAATCTGAGTTTAAACGCAAGCTAATGGTTTAAATTTGAACCTGCAGGTAGATTTCTTAATTGCACAGGAAGAGATCAGTGATTGGAGACAGAAAAATATGGTTGTGGGTTCATGAGGTTTGGTTCAAAACTGGGTCTACGTGGCTCTCCTGGGCATTGCCAGACATCTGACTATCCATAGGACACGGCCAACCAAGCACTGAGCACTCTGGGGTGCCATGCACCAGACGGGCAGGAGGCAGACACAGAGCCTTGACATGGGCCTCAGGAGGAATCTCGTCTCTGATCTACTTCTGAAGGCAAGAATATTGGATGGAAATACACGGGAAATCCCTATCCTGGCTCTGAAGTCGGAGGCTGGGTGGATCATTCCTAATCTTAACCAAGTTACACCATCTACTTATATGACCTGAGCAAAATACCTAACCTCTTGGAATGTCATACTTTTCATCATTAAAATGGGAATAATTTTGGTCGAATATCATAGGGCTCTTGTGAAGATTATGCATGATTCATATAAACACTTAACACACCACCTGGTGCACAGGAAATGACTCAAATGTTAACCATTTTTGTCTGAACCTCAGTTTACTCATCTATAAAAATGCATTTATAATACCAACCTCATTGGGTTGTTGTGAGGTTTAAATTAAGATAATGAATTCAAAATATTAATTATAGTACCTGGCAGTTAACACTCATTAGCTATCACTTTTGTACATATGCTGCCCTCCTCAAAGAGATATGACTGTGATAATGACACTGCATAGCTAACCTCATATGATAATGATCTAATTAATGGGTGATATGAACATGACTCTTCTTTTTCAAGCAACTACCTTGAATTTTCAAAGTTCAGTCAAATGGAATTTTCTATGTGCGTCCAATAGTAGTAATGGGCCTGGCACACACAGGCACTTAGTATATTTTTATTGAAAGATTAAATTAATGAGACCTTTTTTTCTCACACTGATATCCTGAAAGAGATCTAAGAGAAATTAAAGGAGTGGGGAGGGGGCAAGAGTTAGACCGTAGAGATGTAAAGTGTGTAGAGTGGGCCTTCCATGTTGCCACCAAAGAGATGAGAAAGAAATTGCCTGGGTTCCAGGACACAAGGCCTCTCTAACCTGATTCCTTTTCACAGGGCTGCACAGAAAGAACAGCAGACAGGGAATCAGAAAGCAGGAATTCTGGTCCTGGCTCAGCTACTGCTTATGGCCCACTGTGTTTCAGAACAAGTTTAAGTCACTTTTCAGTCTCATTTTCTCATACACAGAATGTGGACAAACATGGGAATACCTGGGCAGTGGAAGAGAAGCTGAGGAATCTGCTCTCAAGGTCTTTTAAAACAAGTCAGAGATACTTGTTTGAGATTACCAGTAAGTAGTTGAAATTTCAATCTTCTATTCCTAAGGCCCTGGGAAACTGTATCATAATCACAGAGCTAAGTAAGATGGTATTGGTGGTATAAAATAGAAGGCAGCCATAAAGAAGTAAAAATTGTTCCAGTGTTATGGAACTTATTTCCTTAAGTTTCTGAGGAATAGAGAAGTCTTTCATTTTATTTGGCTGGATTGGGGCAGGTCTATACTGGGTCAATAATTCAATTCTAGGCCCCTAACATTATACAGTTCTGTTTGCAGAGTCAAAGACTGATTATTAAAAAATATATATTAAACAGGTCACTGAAGAATGTTTGTAGAGTTTCTTTTCTTGGGCTTCTTTATAGAGCATCTATACAGCCATTTCTCCTGAATGGTTCCGACAATCACCTATCTGAACACCAGATGACTGTTCAAGGCCTTTTCTATTTCTACTTTAAATAACTTGAGAGCCCGGCTGGTGTGGCTCAGTGGTTGAGGTCCCTGGTTGGATTCCTGGTCGCACATGCGGGATTAAAGTCTAGATCCCCAGCTGCAGGCTTGATCCCCAGTAGGGGGCATACAGGAGGCAGCCGACGGATGAGTCTCATCATTGATGTTTCTATCTCTCTCCCCGTCTCCCTTCCTCTCTCTGAAATCAATTAAGAAATGTTTTAAAAAATATAAATTGAGACATGAGCTGTAAGCTGCCATTTGTATAGGTAACAAGTGTATAATAATACAAAAATCAAACCAATGCATTTGTGATATAAATAAATAAATTTGAAAAAATAACCATACAATTTTAGCATGAGTCTAATCTGGTTTTCCTAGGGTAGGAGCTCCTTGGATGGTTCCATCCAAGCCCATGTAATAGGACATTCCTGGCCAGGAGCTCAGACTACCCCGTTTCATAATGGTGGGCTCCCAGCAACCTTGTTTGTAGGAAGTGACCTTCTGTTAGTAGGTTACAGATGACAGGAGAGACATCCGGTTTAAATCCAGATCATTTCCCCCAGAAATTTGAAACAGGACAAGAGACAGTCCAGTAGTCTTTTCATATAAACTTGGGAGCTAAGTGGTAGCCACATTCTGTCATTAAATCAGAATACATCTGAGAAGTAAAGGCATTTAGTATGCTAAGAGATAGAAAAGGGAAATAGAAACATGAGAGAGGCAAGAGGCAGGAAGACAAAGTACTTCTGGTATCTGGGGCTTTCTGGCTCTACATTCTGTTTCACTGGCTTCCAAAATCCCAGAACATTCCAGCCCTTAGATTCCTGAAGTACTGCTGTATCCTGCACCCAGAGATGCTCACTAATACACCAACCATACACGGAACTTTTCACTCTCCTGGGGATGGACTTGCACACGCACACACAGCTGGTTTAACACAGCTCTTCTCCATGAACCAGATGTCACTGCTGAAGAAATATGTAAACCTGAGTCCAGAAAAGTGTGAAAAAATTTCTTCAGCTCGGCCAGTGTTGCTCAGTGATTGAGCATTGACCTATGAACCAGGAGGTCACGGTTCCATTCCTAGTCAGGGCACATGCCCATGTTGCGGGCTCGATCTCCAGGGGGGGCGTGCAGGCAGCCGATTCGCTCTCATCATGGATAATTCTATCTCTCTCTCCCTTCCTCTCTGAAATCAATAAAAATGTATTTTTAAAAATTCTTCAAGTGTTTTACTTGAAAATTTAAGGCATAGATCAACTTCTTGGTGGGAGTTCAAGAAGTCTGAAGTAGAAGCTTAGATTGGAAATTGTATTCAACTATTTATACTTCAGAGGGGTTCAGAGAAACAAATCTTAATTAAGCAAGAATAATCTTAACTAAATAACATTAACTAAGGCCATCTAAAAAGTTTATTATCCAAGATTCTCACCCAGTTTGCTAGGAGAAAATTAGAGGAAGGTACAGGAAGAAGAAAGGTGGTGTAGCTTAATGCTTGCAGGTCAAGGTTGGCACTGGATTGCATAGCAATATTAAATATAAACGGTCACTATAGTATACACTGCTCTCAGCCAAGACTTTTTCCTTCCATTAGGGTTGATAATTGCAAACAACCATGTTTGTAGATATCAATGCCAATTTATGGAAATGACGCCATCAATGCATTTCTTAAACTCAAGTCTTGACAGTAGTGGCTGCCATGTACTAGTAAGTGCAGCCAAGCAAAAGTGCTCCCTGAAACCACCAACACAGGCCCCTAAAGGCAAGAAGCTGCTGGTGAATCCCTGACCTGATACGTACGAGAATGGAGGCTGGCACTGTTCTGTCTGTGAAGACAAGCTGTCTTGCTTCTTCCATTGGCTCACACACCAGAACAAGCAAGATACTGACTGAAAATGATTATCCAAAACAGAGCAGAATGCTCCTTCCAATGACTCCTACACAACAGAGTGTGCAACAGCAGCCCTGTGGGGGCAAATTGGACAGCAAGAACTCTTGGAAAGGCTAACATTAACTAGCACTGGGATGTCTGAGCAGAGCAGTTAGTGCATCTACATTTATCATAGATCACGGAAAGACAACTAGACCCAATGTACAGAAAGGTCAGCACCTGAGAAGAAGTCAGACGTTTCATGAATTCTGAGAAGTAGGTGAAGCCACTACAATCCCTCCAACAAACGAACAAGCCTGATGATGTTTAGTCCAGGGAAACCAGCCATGCATACTGGGATCAAAAACTTCCACCGTGGTGATGCCAGATTACAAATACAGTACATTTCTATTTCCTAGTTTGTGGCTCAGGTCTGAAGTAACGTGAGCTAATTATCCTACAAAATTTACATTGGAACAGGCCTCAATAGCAACAACAAGCAGCTGCTCACCCCAGGGGAAAGAAAAGTTCCCCAATCCCCAAGGTCTGGTTTGGCCCAGACAAGTGCGAGGAGTAAATCATGCCGGTCAACTTTCCTGCTGCAGAGTAAATCCTCACAAGGATAGTTCTCGAAGGTTCTTCAGGTCAAGAGTAATTTGGGAGAGATTTGGGGGCCACAGATTTATTTACTTGAGACCAGATTCAAATCACAAAGTCTGACAAAACCTAACTAGCTCTCAAAGGTAGGCCAAGTGGGATTCCCATGTGTCTTCAACGTTTTTCCACTTAGGACACTGTGTTAAAAAACTTTTTTCTTTTTTAATTGATTTCAGAGAGGAATGAGAGGGAGAGAGAGGTAGAAACATCAATGATGAGAGAATCATTAATCGGCTGCCTCCTGCATGCCCCACACTGGGGACCGAACTCACAACCCGGGCATGTGCCCTGACCGGGAATCAAACTGTGATCTCCTGGTTCATAGGTCGACACTCAACCACTGAGCCACACCTGTAGGGCCTCTGTGTTAAACTTTAGTTACCTTTTTTGAGAATGCAATGTGGATAAAGGAGAAATATAAAAGCAACAAGAATATTTTAAGGGACACAATAAGCCTAAACATAGTCTTAAAACACTTTCTATCTCCCTTCACTAGAAATTGGCATATTCATAATGTATACATTTAAAGAAAATGCTTTCTTAAATGCAAATCTGGGGTGAGAAGGAGAAGGCCCATCATTCTCCCTGCTTCTCCCTGCTTCTTCACAGTTAAAAGAGAAAGTAACAAAAATCACAGCAGAGAAATAAAAAACCCGAGAGAAAAGTAACCAAGAAATTGCAACTCTGAAGAGAACAAAATGATATTAAACCAATGTTGACAAGTAGAGAAGTCGAAGTGCTTTGGGGGAGCCATTTAAGTGATGGGAATGAAAAGGAAGTGGTGAGGGAGGCCCTCCTGCCTGGTTTCACTCACGCCAGTAAGTGATGCTCTCTGAGAAAAACACGAGACACCTGCTTTGAGATTTCCACCCTACCATTGGGCCTGCCAGTCCTACGCACAGAGTCAAAGCATGCAGAAGACGAAACTTCTAGCAAAGTCACTAAGAATTTCTGTACGCAGGTCCTCGATAAATATAAACTGAACACTAAGTTTTCAGACATATGACTTTCTACACGGAATACTTAAATATCAAGTTGAATCTGGAAAATTCCAGACCAAAGGAAAAGGGTCTCCTTCTGTGAGTTTTAGCACAGGGTTTGTGTGCATTGTTCTCCAAGTCAAGTCCTCTGAAGCAAAAAGGAAGCATGAATGACACATATCCAAGTCTCGAATTAGCATATAAAAGGGTCAGGATGAGGCTTCGGTCTTTTCTAAGCTAAATCAAAGCTTCTCGTATACAAAAGGCTGGAGCTCACTAATGCACTGCACTCTCCAATCTTCTGGGAGTCCTAGCAGCCCTGACGCACTCAGAATAACTACCAAAGATGCTCAGAGGAAGGACAGCGTCAGCCCCGGGAGCCGGGTGAGTGCTCTGGGAAAGGGAAAACTCTCAGGAAGGGAACTGAGACTTGGAGAGCAGGCCCCAGGTCAGTTCTGTTGTTGATCTCACTTGTTTGTGACAACTCTGGCAAAAACCTATAATCGAACTGGGAACAGGAAAAGGCAAAGAAAGCAGTCATTCCACTGAAGTGTTCCATGACAAAACTTGGTATGAAAAACAATGGTTCTTACTAAGAGAGAACTATATCCCAGCTCTACAACAGTGGAGTTAAAATGACTTAGATTGCCAATCAAGAGGTGGCCCAGGTCTACGGACTCATGCACTGGTGCTCCCACCCTGGGAGGAGACCTGGGTAACAGGCAGGTGGGAAGAGGACCACAGCCTCCATGGGAAAAGGAAAGCAGAGCAGGCGAGTGCAGAATGTTACATGGGATGGCAGCAGTACCTCACGAGGGAGGCATCGCTTACCAAATAAGCACTTCACTCCGGATTTCTCTTACTAACTCTATGTAGAATGTGAAAAAAAGAATTTAGGATTAAAAGTCACACTTTAATTCAAGCATCAATTATATCATTCACTGACAGTGGACTCTTATTGGCTTTATTTTCCTTTAAAAGTTACATTTCATACCAGTTAACCTCCCAAAGCCAGCTCATTTGGGGTGCTTCTAGAAACAAGAATTCAGAAGTCTATTTCAACTGTGAAGCTGACGTCTAAATTTTGATACAAATCCTTTCTTTGGGTTTAGGTTTCTTCTTTATAATAACTGCTACTACTACAATCATTTATGGAGCACTGCTATGCACCAGAAACTGTGTTTATTTATATATATAGTACTGGAGTATTAAGGATGAATAATGTGACATCAGTCAAAAGCTATCTTGCAGTAATGCTGTGGTCAGAAATTAACCATACAGCACAGAAACAGAAGCTAAAAGCTAGACCAGAGATAGCATCTGCTGCCCTAGTTAGTGAACAGAACACAGCTTTCCAATTTAATTCTGGAAGAGAAGTTCTGAGATCACAAGAACATACAGAGACAGATGCCTTGTGGAATACGCTGGGGGAAGTGAGCAGAAACATGGGATCATATTTAAAAAGAGGCCAGAGGAGGAAAGAGACCAAAGGAAAAGTAGAAGAAGTAAAGACATGGTGCTCCAGATGCTTTAAACAAATAAGACAAGGCCTGCCTATGGATCAGGCCACTGCCAATGAGGCTGCCTGGAGGATGAGCTGGGCTTTCCGTCAAAGGGATTTAAAAGGCTAGAAACTAAACCTTGGTAAGTCAGGGAGGGTTTTTTGCCAAGAAGGAAATACTCCAACTGATACCCAAACTCTGTTGATAAGGAGTAAGTTACCACAGCTGAAGACAAAAGAGTTCATTTTCAGTAGGGCTCAATGACTGGCCCACTTCATGGCCCAAATTTATAAATGGAGGAACGGGGGTTGCCTTCCTTGGAGTTCTTGCTGCTACATTCTACATCTGTCCTCTCCAGGATGCAACCTTTGTGTTTCCCTCTGGTACCTCATATTTAGATAATGTTAAAAAGGGGGAAAGAGAAATGTTTCTGAGCCAGCCACAAGGAGAAGAACCATGTGATGCCAGGAATAGGATGCCTTCAAGTCCCTGTTTCTACAAAAGTGCAACGGGAAGTCTGGTCTCTTGCCTGAATACAACCAATCAGCAACAATATAGTCCTGACTTCTGCCATGTTACTGCCAGTGTATCCTAGGCTCACAAGACTAATGAAAATATCTTTCCTACTAGACATCAAGACTGCTCGTTAAAAAGATAGTTCAATATTATCAGGTAGCAAGGATTTAAACTAAATTAAGGCATCTTAACCTGGGGCCCACAGAAGGGTTTCGGGGGGCGGGGGTGTCTGTGAACTTTGATCCGATTCTCAAAAGGATACAAAACCTTCAAGGTTAAGGACTACTGAGTCAGGTCAACCAGGACCAAAAAGTAAAGCAACCTTTTAACCACTCACTGATTCCTTTTCTTTCTTCTCAAATTTCTGTACTTTTTGTTAGCCCATATCTTCAGATGAATTTTATCTTACCTTTGATTTTTTTTAACAGCACCTGCATATGCTTCATTGGGATTTATGTTTGAGAATGGTCTCTGACTATATGTCTACTGGTTCTTATTAATGAAACAGACATAGAAGATGATTATTAAGTAATTATTAAGGTTCAGTTCACTAACTCAAGTTCTTAAATCCTATATAATAAAAGCCTAATATGCTAAGTGTCCGGTCGACCAGTCGGCCGTTCAACCAATCAAAGCGTAATATGCTAATGATATGCTAAGGCTGCTCAACCACTCACTATGACATGCACTGACCACAGGGGGCTGACAGTCGACCGGTCAACCAGTTGCTATGACATGCACTGACCACCAGGGGTTAGCTTGCTGCTGGGGTCCGGCCGATCAGGACTGAGCGAGATGGGCTGGACACGCCCTGGAGCCCTCTCACAGTCCCTCCCCGGCTAGCCAACCTCCCACATTCCTCCCCGGCCCTGATCATGCACCTGTGGGGTCCCTCGGACTGGCCTGCGCCCTCTCACAATCCGGGACCCCTCAGGGGATGTCGGAGAGCCGGTTTTGGTCCGATCCCACAGGCCAGGTCGAGGGCCTCTAGTTTGTCTATAATACTGGACTAGTTAACTGGGTAGGTCTCTTATGTGATTAAATGATCCCATTAACACAGTAACAATAAAAGTGCAATTCTTTGAGTAACATCCCATCAGCAAATCATGCGATAGGAAGCATAGAAATCATAAGCGATGGAATGATGGTGAATGTTAAAATTACTGTAATTCCATGAGGCCAGAAAGCAAATGATTTATATTCAAAGAGATAGCTTAGCTCTGTGACAATTCTCTCAATATTGTGAAATCCAAGTGATTCTTAAGCACGTGCTTTTTGAGAAGCATGGATGGAATGGGGCTGCATGCCTGGCAAGCGCTGTCCGAGAAAGTGCCCAAAGGGCCATTCCAGAGACCGTCTCCAGGTAAACACATGCGGAATGCAAGGCCATATCAAATGTGCTGACACCGGTTGAGAATGTAGTGGACAAAATGAATGGCGGGGGAAGAGAAGATGAGGCAAAGTCAGTCTTGTGTTTAGATTTTCTCACCTGGAATTACAGAGATAGTTTTCAAAGCTCGGAGAACCCTGAATGTTCTCAGCGCTGAGACATTGCCCAGGTCCACAAACTCTGTCACATATCTGCAGTAAGGGAGGTCACACACAGACACAAATGACAAACACAGACACAAACACAAACACCAAAGGAAGAAAACAAAACCACAACAAAACAAAAAGTACAATACGTCACGTCAGGGCCCTAACCCAACACCTAACACCAACCCCGGGCCATCTTACCTGGGATTACCGAAATAGTTTTCAAAGCCCTCAGTACCCTGAAAGTGCGTAGAGCTGAAACATTGCCTAGGTTTACAAACTCTGTTATATACCTGCAGAATCAAACCAAAGTTAACTTGTAATGGTACCACTGGGCGAGGGTGTGAGAATGGGGGGGAAGAAAGGGTCTTACACACAAGCTATGATTTCATTTTTTTTTCCTTGAAAAAGAAAAGTTTCAACATATAAACATTTAAGGAACATTTTTTTTAATTGAGCAAGGAGAATTTAAAAGTATATTTGAAAGAACTGATACAGCCAGGAGATTCCTGGAGCTTTACTCTCTTAATCAGTATTGTGATATGCGGGTCTGAATCAGAAGGGTTACTCTCGGCCAATCACTTGAGGCCAGGAGGTAACAAAGGCTTATGTCGCATGTTTTGTGCACAATTTCTTAGGAAAAGGAGATATATTTCTGTAGCAGGAGCTCCATAAAACCAAGTATACATTAAAATAACTCCTTAGCTGACAATGGCAAAAATGCCTAGATGTCTGTATATATGACTTATCCAAAAGTTGTTTGCATATCTTTGCAGTTATGCCTAAAGATGAAGTTTCAGCCTATGACATACAAAAGCAGGGCTCAGGAAAATCCAGGTCATGAGATCAGAGCAAATATTATACTAAATGCCCATTTTATCACCAGTCCTGTGCCAAGCGAGGACACTTAAATTTCAAATGAACACAAATGTGTTCAGTTTCTTAATGCTGGAAAGCTAGAATTTGCCTTAATATAACAGAAAGTCAAAGTTCCAGTTTCAAATATTCGATGCATATCGTTCACTTACATTTTACAGTGGAAATACATCTTTCTATCTGCTGCTCAGACCCATACATACACTCAATCTCTTACACATCTGCATGCACACACCAGAACTCACATACAACCTAGACAACACCCTTATTCCCTCTACCAAACCATCAAGTGCTTTCTCAACCTGGAAATAAAAACAATAAAGTCTGCTATAACTCTTCTATCATCAGCTCAGTTTCCCAGGCATACATTTTCATTGTCACAACAGAAATTACGAAGAGCACTAGCATACCGATGTGGAGCTACATTGTTCTCTAGCAACAGTTTGAAGTTCTGGTCAGTATTTCTTTAGAAATCAACCAGTTTGGATATATCTTGGCTCATGTTTTGATTCTAAAATGTGCTCTGAAGTCTGTAACATCTGGCTTGCCTCATGAAATTATAGGAAATAAAATATACTCAGGAAACTGATTTTCAATTGAAGATTTGCACCTATAAAATTTCAAGTCTTCACCAAGGCACTCTAGTGATAAATGTGTAAGCCGCGGTCAGTATTATGAGGGGGAAGAAAATATGAGAGAGCATTATTAGGAAATCACTTCCTGCTATCTCTCCCAGCTGTAAAGCCTCTGCTTACCTTCTCCCATATAAACCTGCCGTCACTGCCTGAGCAGAGGCCCTCACAAGCAAGAGTCATAAGCATAAACCCATACGGCCTTACAGAGTTGTCCATTAATTCCTCATACAACTGTGCCCACAAACGCACACTTACACTATCATACAAACACCCAGGAGCACAACCACCCACAATTGCACCCAGAACACCAAAAAAGTAAGCGGAGAACTTACGCCATCATGATGACGCTGAAATCTAACCAGTTCCATGGATCCCGTAAAAAGGTGAAGCCATCTATGCAGAAACCTCTTGCAATGATTTTAACTAGTGACTCAAATGTATAAATCCCTGTGAATGTGTACCTGTCAAAGAAATGGACAGCGTGAGGTCCTTTCTGAACAGCCAGAAACGATACGCGCATCTTTTAAGATAATGTACTTGCCTCGGTGTGGCTTCAACCAACAGAGACAAAACAAAAAGGACATAGCCAATGCAGCAAAATAGAAGCGAGGAAGAGAAAGGGATGCTTACTGGAACACACAAATCAAGAACTTTGGAATGTTGTGCTGGGTCTTGACAGGTATCACACATATGTACCTCTGCACTGCCATCTGTATGTGATCATTTCCAATCAGGGGAGGCAGCCCCAGAGCTATTTTTAACTTTAAACAAGTCAAAATGAAGGGAAAGGTAATATTGGAGAAGAAGGTAGTATTGTCAGGAACTGAGGGTAGGAGATGGTGACGTGGCAGCAAGTCAAAGGCACCAGCCAGCACAGGAAAAGATGGGGGTGAAGGGCAGGAACTTCCAGAGCCTTTCTCTTTTTAGAGTTGACTACTGATAGTTCCTAAATCCTACATTTATGTATCTCACCCCTCTCTGTGAAATAAAAAATAGGCAATTAACTATTTTTCCCCCTGATGGATAAACTGTGGCAAGGCAAGATTCAGTGACTAAAAATGAACTAAACAAGCGGTCAAATAAATAAACGAGCTACTTACTCCACATTCTTCGACCAGTCGGGAGGGTTACTAAAAGTCATGAATACACAGTTGGTCAAAATAGTGCACATAATGATCATGCTAAATACTGTAGAGAAGAGTCAAGGGAGAATGCGCAAAACTGGAGAAGACACAAAGTCTGACCACTTTATTTTTTTCTCAGAAAACAAACACGTTGCACATGGGGTATCATGAGACCTAAACCAGTAACCTGAAAGAAGGCAAAGCACAGAAGAGGAGGAAAAGGTGAGGTGATAATGAAAACTGTGGCCACCACAGAATCCCACGGTGAAACAGCTGACCAGAGAATCATGAATGGACACAACAGAACGTCCACGCGCTTTCAAAAAGGCCGTCCTTATGCCGCTCCTTTGGGATAAAACATTTTCCTCTCTTACCACTTTCACCTCAAGGATGGGATAAGCCCCTAAATACCTTTGTGCACAGTAACCAAAAATCTACCAGTCTGCCAGACTCAAGGTCATCAGGTGAGAAAATAAATTAAATTTAATCTATATTACTCAGTACTCATTTATTGTTAGTTACCTTGCATAACTCATTATTTGAAAATCTACATGTAATTAAGGGTTCACTTACCCCCGAGTCCTCCAAAGGGCTGAACTACTCTTGGGGGGCAAGGCAATAGCCAGTGTGTGCTGAATTTGTCTAAGTTGGGAAACCTGTTGTGACATGTTGGGTAAGGATTTCAAGGGCATCCACACCATCACATGTCTAGAACTAAGCAATGGGCAAATTCACCTGGTCATTCTGGAAGTGCTCAGGAATGTTTGTGGATAGCAAAGTACTTAGTTGCCATTTCAGTTTCATTCACAACCTTTCTCGGCCCTTTCTGTTCTTGTCTACTGAGAAAAATCAAACTGCTTTAGGTCAGGAGTTACTCAAACACAAACTGTCACTTTAACAAGCACAGAAGCTGCATCTCATTTGTTGCTAATTCACTCTTTCTTGCTAATGGCATTCACCGTCTTCATTCTAAAGGGTGTCCCAAAATTCACGCAAGAAGTAATTTTGATAGAAAATACAGGTTTATAATTAAAAATTGTAAATTTTTTATTGATTCATAAAGTATACAGTATAGGGTTATGTATGGAATAGCATATCGGGTAAATGGCCTCCACAGCTTTGCTGGCACATACGCACTCTTTTGTTGAAATTTTCCATGACTGTTTTGAATTTCCTTGATACAGCGCTCAATTTCCTCCTTCAAGGCGTGGGTGGTCGTGGGCTTGTTGGCATAAACCTTAGACTTCAAAAAACCTCAAAGAAAAAAGTCCAACGGCGTTACATCGATGATCTGGGTGGCCAATTCTGATCACCAAAACGGGAAATTACACGACCAGGAAATGACTCATGCAGTAATTGAATTGTTTCTCGGGCTGTATGGCATGTGGCACCGTCTTGTTGAAACCACATGTCGTCCACATCCATATCTTGCAATTTAGGCACAAAAAACTGGATTATCATGTCGCGATAGCGAGCACCATTAAATTCAAATCTTGAGTGAATTTTGGGACACCCTTTACTAGTGAGGTTTTAAAAAGAAAACATACTTTGTATAGCTGGATTTTCTTCACTACAACTGGATTTCCCCCCAGGGAATAATAACATGTTCTGGTTAGGAGAGAAAAAACACTCCCCATCTCCTGATAATAAAAAGGGAAGACGTACTAGTATTGTGATTTGTTTATGTATTTGTAAGCCTTCAGATTTCAGAACTATGTTGCTTATAAACCACATGTTGCTCATATGCCTGTGTTCTTGCCTGTGAGGGCCTCTTGTTCAGGCAACGACAGCAGGTTTATATGGGAGAAGGTAAGCAGCGGCGTTACAGCTGGGAGAGAAAGTGGGAAGTGATTTCCTAATAACACTCTCTCATGTTTTCTTCCCCCTCATAACACTGACGAAGGTTTGCACATTTATCACTAGGGTGCCTCGGTGAAGATTTGACATTTCATAGGTGCAAATCTTAAACTGAAAATCAGGTTCCTGGGTATATTTTAGAACCAGGTTGCTAAATTCTTGCAAGTTAATAAAATGTGGTGAGAGCTTGGCAAACCAATTTGCCAAGTTGCAACTGCTCGTTTCCTCATCCTAACTGGAGGATACAATACGCTTTGCAGCATGGGACTAAATCCTGTCATATTAAATACCAACCATGAGCGTGTCAAGTCACTATACAAAGTTGCTGCACCCATCACGTCATTTTTTTGTCATATGAGCTCCTATATTAATAAGATGTAAAAGTCAGGCCACATGAATAAACTGGCAATTTCTGTTTCAGGGGAGTAAAAATACCAGAAAAGATTCCTATCAATCCTGCATCTAAATCTAAACCTCTGTACCAGGGCCATTTAACTTGAGAAACTATTTCAGATACTTTCTAAGCTCACTGTTCAAAAACTAAAAAATAGTCAAGGCAGACCTCTAAAGCATTCATTCAACTATTTGTAAGTAGCTTTTAAAATATTCTAATATTGGACTTTAATACATTAAAAACCTGAATAATCTGCTTCAGGATGAAATTACTAAAGTCTGAGCACTTTAAAAAGTAAGATTTTAGTAAAAGATTACTATTTAATTTGTCCTTCTAAATCAGGGGTGGGGAACCTTTCTTCTGCCAAGGGTCATTTGGATATTTATAGCACATTCACGGGCTGTACAAAATTATCAGCTTAAAAATTAGCCTGCTATATTTAAGCCAAACATTTCATTAACTCACCCCTAATGCCTCAGCAGGGCCAGGACAGATGATTTCGAGGGCCTCATACAGCCCTCGGGCCGGACATCTCCCACCCCATGCTCTAAATGATACCAACACCATTCCAGGGTCATCCTAAGAAAAAAAGAATTTGCTGAAGCTCACCGTTCAGAATTTGGCAGAAATTCCCTTCTAAACCTCTGATTGGTGGGACAGTCAATGACACTATTGATAAAATACTTAACATATAACTCAGTTGTCACAATTCACAAACTTGTACCAGAGACCATGCAATTGCTACCCTCACTCCACATTTGTAGAAAAGGATATGAATGTATCAAAATTTTAATAGCTATTCTTCTTATCAGGTTAAAAGGACTTAAAATATACAAGGCAGGCGTGGCACTAAATCTGAAGAGAGTTTTCCCTCTGTTTAATACTACAAAGGTCTGTGGAGAAAGAAAAAGAGAAATTATTAAAGCATTGGAATTAATCACCACACAAAACAACATTTTTTAAAGCAAGAAGTAATTCAAATGTACTTATAATTTTTACTTCCCAATTTGGTTTCTAAGGCAAGAAACCTTAAGGCAATACCTCTCTTTCCCTAATCTCCACCCCGCCCCCCAAGCTCTGCCCCAGATTATATTACAAATAGATGGCACTATTTTAGCAGTTTTACAGAACAAATGTCTCAGAAGCAAGACATCTGAACTATATACCTAAGCTGTCTATGCCAGCTCTGAACAAGATACTGAAGTTCATTAATTTAGGATTCACTGAGTGCCTACTATGTGCCAGGCAATGTCGTAGGTGCTTGGGAAATACCAGTGAACCAGGCTACCTTGGCTGGGAAGCTTATATTCCAAAGGGGAAGACAAACAATAAATAAAAAACATAACAAAAAAGTAAATTATATTGAATGTGATATGCAATGGAAAAAAGAGAAAGGTTGGGGAAAGGGAGATCAAGAATGCTGGGATAAGAAGGGTGAATGTGGAGGTGATGGTTTTAAAGGAGGTGGTCAGGGTAAGCCAACTGAGACGAAAGATTGGAGAAAAGACTTGAAGGAAGTGACCAACATTTACCTACCAAGTCTGCTCTATCTGGCTTTTAAGAGCCTCCATTATCAGCCTTGTCAAAACCACTCAACCACATTTCTCTGTATGAATTTTCCTGTCTTGCCAAACTAGTTCATGTTACAAATTCAGGAGTTTGGCCTTTGCTCACATTGCTCATCGTACCCATAATGCCTTTTCTTACATCACTAATTCAATTCAATTAAAATGTTCTTGAGCATCTATTTTGTGCCGACCATTGTGCTAGGATCCAGGGATACAAAATTGAATAAACTGTACTTTTAGGAAAGACGTATGTGTGAACTGGTAATTATGATGCAGGGTAAATACAAAGTTCAATAACAAAAATATGCCTAATGTATGACAAGCAGCAGAAGAAAGAGATTTTACCCCCTTGGATGGGAAAAGACAAGGAGAAGAGTGAGCTGAGACATGTTCACAAAGGAAGGTAACTAACATTTGGAAGGTAAATAATATTTAAAAGGATAAGTAGAGATGAAGAGAGATTAATTGGTCAGATATAGGGGGAAGGAATGACAAGGAACAGGAGTAGCATAGGATGTACAAAGGCACCCTAGCATCTAACTGCGGGTTGTTTTCAGGGAATTGACAAGTAATTCAGTGTGATGGAAGATAAAATAGAGAAGGGGAGAGCAGACTGTGAAGCTGAAGAGAGATGCAGGAACCTACTGGACTATGAGGACCTAAGGAGACAGGCCAATACACACCCCTAGCATTTCACTGTGTGAGTGAAAGAGCAAATGGTCAAATGCTAGACATTTTAGATAGTGTTTTTTATGTAAAGCAATACATGTACACATTTTTTTAAAAAGGACAGAAGACTAAAAGTTCCCATCTCCCCTAGAAACTAGAAACACCAATCAGAAAGGACATATGCACCCCTATGTTCATAGCAGCACAATTCACCATAGCTAAGATTTGGAAACAGCCTAAGTGCCCATTAGTAGATGAGTGGATTAAAAAACTGTGGTACATCTACACAATGGAATACTATGCTGCGGTAAAAAAGGAGTTCTTACCATTTGCAACAGCATGGATGGACCTGGAGAGCATTATGCTAAGTGAAATAAGCCAGTCAGAGAAAGATAAATATCACATGATCTCACTCATTTATGGAATATAATGAACAACATAAACTGATGAACAAAAATAGATCCAGGGATAGAGAAGCATCGATCAGACTGTCAAACCTCAGAGGGAAGGTAGGGGAGGGTGGGGGTAAGGGGGAGAGATCAACCAAAGGACTTGTATGCAAGCATATAGGCCTAACCAATGGACACAGACAACAGGGGGGTGAAGGCATGAGTGGGTGAAGGGGGGTAACGTGGGGATAAGGACACATACGTAATAACTTAATCAATAAAAAAAGTTCCCATCTCATTACTCAATGATAACCTTTGTTACTTGTATATCTTTTCAAAACTTTTCTTTATAAATATAAGCACCCAGATATAGCCTTAAAAAGACTTCCCTCTCTCCTTCCAATAGGATTATACTATAAATACCCTTCTGTACCTTACATTAAAAAACAAACTCCCACAAAGGAAAGTCCGGGACCAACCAGATGGCTTCACTAATAAATTCTATCAAATGTTTAAAGAAGAAAAGTAATGCCAATCCTTCATAAACTATTCCAAAAAGTAGAAGAGAAGGGCACCCTTCCCAGCTCATTCTATAAGGAGAGTATTACCTTGATACAAAACTGACAGAAATGACAAGAAATGAAAACTATAGACTAATATCCTTTATAAATATAGATGCTAAAAGCCTCAACAAAATATCAGCAAACTGAATCCAGCAACATATATGAGGATTATATACCATGACCATGTGGTATTTACCTCAGAAATATAAAGATGTTATAACATATGAAAATCAATCAATGTAATAATGTTAATAAAATAAAGGACAATAACCACACGATCGTCTCAATAGAAGCAGAAAAAAACATTTGACAAATGTTCTTTCATAATAAACACACTCACCTAAAGAGAACTAGAAGGGAATTTCCTTAACTTAATAAAGGGCATCTACAAAAAATCCACAGCCAGCGTCATACTTAATAGTAAAAACCTGAAAGCTTTCTCCCTAAGATCAGGAATAAGACAAGGACGTCCACTTTCTCCACTTCTATTCAACATTATAAAACGGATGTTCTAGAGAAGGCAATTGAGCAAGTAAAACCATTTCTAGTTCAGATGAAACAATCTTGCATACAGAAAACCCTAAGGAATATGTACACACAAAACTATTAGAGCTCATAAGCAAGTTCAACAAGGTCTTAAGGTACCAGATCAATATGGAAAAATCAGTTGTATTTTTATATATCAGCAATAAACAACCCCCAAATTAAGAAAACTCCATTTATAATAGCATCCAAATAAATAAAATACCTAGGAATAAATTTAACAAAAAGAAGTATGATTTGACACAGAAAAACATAAAACGTAATTAAAAGGAATTAAGACCTAAGTAAATAGGAAGACATCTTTTTCTCATGGATTAGAAGACTTATTATTAAGATGACAATATTCCCCTAAATGATCTACAAATTCCATGCACTTTTTATCAAAATTTCACCTGCCATTTTGGGCAGAAATTAACAGGCTGATCATAAAATTTCATATAGAAATGTAAGGGAACCGGAACAGTCAAAATAGTCTTAAAAAGTATGAACAAAGTTGAGGACTCACACTGCCCTATTTCAAAGCTTATTACAAAGCTATAGTATTCAAGACTAGTATGAACATAAGGATAGCCATATAGATCAATAGAATAGAATTGAGAGTCCAAAAATAAACCCTTATATTTATAGTCAATTGAATTTTTGACAAGAATGCCAAGACAACTCAAAGGAGAAAGAATAGTCTCTTCAACAAATGGACAACTAGGTAACCACATGCAAAAGAATGAATTTGGACCTCATACCCTATACAAAAATTAACTAAAATGGATCAACGACCTAAATAAATGTAAGAGCTAAAACTATAAAACTATTAGAAGAAAACAGAAGGTGATTAGACAAGTGTCAGAGATGTGACACCTAAAGCACAAGCAACCAAAGAAAAAAAACAGATAAATTGCACTTCATCAAACTTCAAAACTATTGTGCAATAAATGACACAATCAAGAAAGTGAAAAGACGCCCCACAGAATGGGAGAAAATATTTGCAAATTATGTATCTAATAATGGTCTAGCAGCCAGAATAAAGAACTCTTATAACTCAACAGTAAAAAAGACAAATAATCTGATTTAGAAAGGGGCAAAGGATTTGAACAGACATTTCTACAAATCAGTTAATACACAGCAAATAAACATATGAAAAAATGGTCAACATAATTAGTCATTAGGGAAATGCAAATAAAATGACTGCCTCCTGCACGCCCCCCAGTGGGGACGTGCCCACAACCAAGGTACATGCCCCTGACCGGAATCGAACCCGGGACCCCTGAGTCCGCAGGCCGACGCTCTATCCACTGAGCCAAACCGGTTCGGCTGAACAGACATTTCTACAAATCAGTTAATACACAGCAAATAAACATATGAAAAAATGGTCAATATAATTAGTCATTAGGGAAATGCAAATAAAATGACAATGAAATACTATTTCACACCCACTAGGATGGTTATAATTGTTTTTTAAAATGGAAATTAACAAGTACTGTCAGGGATGTGAAGAACTTAGAGCCCTTACCAGTGGTTCTCAACCTTCTGGCCCTTTAAATACAGTTCCTCATGTTGTGACCCAACCATAAAATTATTTTCGTTGCTACTTCATAACTGTAATGTTGCTACTGTTATGAATCGTAATGTAAATATCTGATATGCAGGATGGTCTTAGGCGACCCCTGTGAAAGGGTCGTTCGACCGCCAAAGGGGTCTCGACCCACAGGTTGAGAACCGCTGCCTTATACACTACTGAAAGGAATGTAAACTGGTGCAGCCACTTTGGAAAACAGTTTGGCAGTTCCTTCCTCAAAAGTTAAACACAGAGCTACGTATGACTCAGCAATCCTACTCCTAGGTGTATACTCAGGAGAACTGAAAGCAGGTGTTCACGCTAAAACTTATACATAAATATTCATAAAAGCATTATTCAGAATACTTCAAAAGTGGAAATAACCCAAATGTCTGTCAACTGACAAATGGATAAACCAAATGCAGTATCTATATATATAAAAGGCTAAGCGACCGTCCAACCGGGTGGTAGGTATGATGCACACTGACCACCAGGGGGCAGATGCTCAACCCAGGAGCTGCTGAGCTGCGGTGACTTGGCAGCAGCAGTTCTCCAGTGATGCACCCAGAACCAGAGAGGAGGGAGCCCAACTGAGAACCACCCTCTTGC